CACACACGCACCCTACAACTATTGATCCAGTTTCTTACTGGTTTAGCCTGAGGCCTCTTCTTGCCTTTCAAAATATTAAGTATTGTGGTACTTAATCTGTACAGGCCAATATTGCCTTCTTCTCCTCTTAAAACCCAGATGTGAAGCCACAGGGCCAAGATTTGATTCTGGTCAGTGCTTGGATGAGAAAAACAATTATCTAGCGATTCCAGGTATGCCATCCAGATGAAAGAGAGTCCAGCTGTTACAGCATGACAGGCCTTTGCATACTCACCTGGAAGCCTCTCCCACTGAACTTGGTGTAATTTATTTGAAATATTACATAGACATTCCTGAAGTCAATTAATGTCAAGCACAACAACAGCAAAAAAGGTTATTTAAAACTTAATTGATCTCTCTCAAAAGAGATTCCAGGACAATTTATGCAATTACAAACAGGCATGCAATAATTACATTAGATAAATGCAAGTTAAAAAGAACTCTTCAAGTGAAAAGGACTTGTCAAATAATTTTGTCTGGCCTAAGAATGAAAAGAATGTTGATGCCAGTCAACTTTCCTTAGGAATTATTCTCTAACCACAATATCTGTGCAAAAAACAGTCTTTATTTCATTGCCGCCTTAATTTTAAAAAGGGTGGCTCTTAGAGAAGGGGCTTGGAAGACTACCTAAAACGCAGACAAATTGTTATGAGGACATATATTCTAATGCCTCAGACCTTTGAGATTTAGGACCCAGTCTTCTGCACCTGGAGAATTTGGTTCTCCAGACATTTCCGAACTAAGCCGCCAGCATGCTGGCTCACCATTAGCCATACTGGCTGCAGTACAAAACATCTGGAGGGATCGGTTTTCCACCCTGTCATAAGCTGTTACCCAGAATTAAGAGTTCTTCTGCATGACCTGCTAACTGAGCACAGGCAATGTGTCCACAATCACATTGAAAGGACTTGAATGGATGACATCAGCCTTAGTTCATCTTCCTCATGGAGGCAACCTGCAATCCTGCTTTCCTGCTCTGCTACAAAAATGGTGCTTTCAGCTTTGTGCCAGCACAAGACTGGATGTACGGTTTCTCTCCTGTGCTTAATTCAGTCTAACAGTGTCTGTGCTTCTATTGCTTGCTGTAAGAGCGGCCGGCAGAGCACCTTCCCCTGTGGTTGCTGGTTGTGCCCTTCATGGCCATTTTGGGGATATCTGTGCCAAAAGAGAGGAGTGTACCCAAAGAAAACCTAAACTTTGGCTCATGCTTTCCAGCATGGGTGGGAGGTCTAGTAAATTAAGGGAATGTAAACATAAAGCAGTTAATCATCTTGAAATATGTTTTTATTTTCAATAAAAGATTACAAAGATACAATCTTTTGACTGCCTCCTATCATTGTGTAAAATTACAATGTTTCTTGCTTATCACACTTCCTTGCTTTTGACCACCATAATTGAAATAACCTTGTACCTGAACTGTGAGGTCGGGACATATTCCACCATTAATATAAAAGAAAGTGAACCCAAATAATTCCCACTTCACTTTGGTTGGATGCAATGTTAGACATTTCATTAAATATGCCACATGCTTATATAAGACCTTAAACTGACACTTATCCCATCAAGCCGTTATATCCATCTCAGAATACAAAAATAAGCAGGCTGGAAAGAAATAAAGAATGATTCATTCTAGCACTGAAGATGTTACCTAGCTGGGTAATGAAAT